AAAGTGGTGATAAAGTACCCGGGTATACCCGTTTCTGGTTATTGGTCTTTTTTTTGCTACGCGCAGCACTGGGAAGGGATTCTCAGTTCCACCGCATCGGTTTATATCGTACAGCAGTAATCGTGTCAACATTCCGAGCAAATCGTGTGCGAGAGAAGTCAGAAAGCAAACAAAACATCGACAACGTGAACATACCTGACTGCACAGGAAAGCACCGCGATACTCAGAGCTGGGAAGTGTGGTGGCACTGCTGTGCAACCCGCGTTAGGCACTTGGCAGGCACGCTCGCTCTATTCAAGGAGGTTCCGTGAATCATTTTCGTCATATGATGCACTCTATGATACGCCGGAGCCCCGTTGTGTTTCGCTGAGCGCTCCGTCTGCCGTGTCGTGTCCGATGGGCACGTGAAAGACCCCCGACAGAGAGAAGGGGAGGAAGACACAATCCGGGCTTGAAGATATGGACGATCACAGCTTGTCACACGCATCCCCCGTGAAGAGAGAGATCGCCGACAGCGGAAACGGTGGGAATAGAGAAGCCGAGTACGCAGCTGCCGCGGCTGCAGCCCTGGCAATCGGACCGAAGAGGTGCGTGCATGCCACGGCGTTGTGATGCCTACGCGCTTGCTCATATGGCGTGGGGCGAGGGGGCGGGGGTTATGACGACAAATTTCTGTTTTCTTGCGGTGTTATTGTTTGATGGAGTTCATGCAATTGTGTTGCGCGAGAGGCCTTGTGTCCTTCGGTCCGTGCTGGCTCTACATAGATCGGGGTTGTAATAGGATCCCCTGAAACACCGATTTTCAAAGCTCGACTAGTCTTCAGCAAAGGAAGCGACGGTGCTGAAAATGACGACCTTTGAACCGCCTCGCCAAGAGCTTTCCGAAAACGTGTAACTTGTTGTTTGAATCCTCGTCCCGTCGAGTACGAGAGCTTTGAAAATCGGTCCAGGGGGGGTGGTATCCCACGTCACCAACCCGGTGCAGTAAATAGTTGCCGGCCTACAGCAGGTGGCGAACCGCAGTCAACGATGTTGTGTGTGTGGCCGTCGCCCAAACATGTGGTGCTGTTTGAACTCGTACACACGCGGTAGATACAACCGTTCGTGACCCTCCTTGGCCGTGGTGCTGTTTGAATTCGCACAAAAGCTCATGCGGTAGATACAACTCGTTGGTGACGCTCCATGCCCCGGCCGGCTTTGGGGAAACACCACCATCGATATTGTGAGCGGCAACACGAACGAAAAATGAGTAGTTGCCTTGTCCACACCTCCATGGAGAAAAATGCTGTGTACAGCAGTGCACGGCACCACGGGTATGACACCCCTGGGATAACACTTTTGCCTCGCAAGATTGTGCCGGGTGCAGCCGGGTGTTACATTCTGAGAGTGTGGGAGGAGTTTTCTTGTGTAGCCCGGGCTACAAGTTTGCAGTTCTCGCGGGAGCCATGAAGGGAGTGCTACACCCGGGGGCTGTGAATATGCATACTTTCTGTGTCACCGCCTGCAAAGAAGTACACCGTACTGCTGCCGCACTTGCAGGGTGTGTGGTACTGAGCGGGGGTGATGCCGCTGACTGACACCACTGCCTACAGTGAAGTTCCTGGGGGGGGGGTGTACTCATAGTCGTGCATGCCATAGTCGTTAGACCATTGACCTCGCATCCCTACAAAGCC